ATTGAAATTAATATAAAAGTTAAGAGCAGTTAAGAGTTCGAATCTCAAAGATCAGATTTGCAAGTGAAAAATGAATTAACATTGTGTAATAAGCCTTTTTTCTGATATTTTTTTTTGATTAGGGGACGTTCACTTATGACGTTCGAAAAATAGTAAAGTTTGGAGAGGGACGAGCCTTTTTTGAACAGAAGGCACTGCGATTCAAATTAGAACAGAATCTTTTGTACCACACCTACAGTTTAAAGTGAAATCCAAAGCACTTGCATGCTCTGTATTGCAAAGAAACGAGTACGTCTTTAGACCTAATGTACCCTACAATGTACCTAGTCACAATTCGTGTGCGCAAGATGCTGCAATGAAATCATTCAGATGATAGTATATACTAGTAAACCAAGCAAAAGAGACACGTTATGTGCCTAAGACCTCAAAACTACACCCAACTCATGAACGAGCTTCGTAACTAGAACGGTGAAATCGAAAAAGAGCTTCTAAAACTTGACTTGGCCTAGGATTGAACCCATAACCTTTGGTACGTAAGGTCAATGCTCTACCAACCACTTAGGCTATTGATGCAATTTCACCGCTTATCAAGGGTCAGTACGGTATTGTACAATACTTACAATACTTACAATACTTTCCATATAAGTATTGTAAGTATTGTACAATACTGTACAATACTTTTGGAGTGTCTGACCCTTGCCGCTTATGACGTCCGTAATCAACGGTCATTTTTCAAAAAGAACAATAGATATCTAGAAATTTCTATTGTTTCTTGCAGACCCCCCCCCCCCCCCCCTCCTATTCTGGACGTCATATGTGAACGGCCCGTTACTAAGATTTCGTTCGTTTGATTGAAATCCACCAAAAAATTGATTTTTTTTTCAAATTTCAATCAAAATTTTTTTCACAAATCTTGAAAAATTTCTTCCCAAATTCCTTTTTAAAAATCCAGTATTTTTTTCACATCAAATGATTAGTTAAACAGTCATAACATGTTTTTATGATTAGCTCCAAAAAAAAAACACTGAATGAGTCAACATCTTTTCTTCTTCTTCTTGGAACATGTTTATACATAAAAGTTATCCAACACGTCACTCAAAATATTCATTACAAACTTCTACACATAAAGCAAACGTTTTTTTGCATTTTTAAAGAAAAAGATTTCAATTCATTGAATGGCATGTATATGCTTTTAATAATAATAATAAAAAAAAGTTTCCTACACAACATCAACCGATTATTGCACTTTTATATTTTTCATATATTAAAATTCAGCTTAAAGTTGATTTTATTGAGTGGGTCAAGGACGTACATTTATTTAATTTTGCATACTGCTCAGTAGGAGTTGGTGTTTTACATTGAAGCGATTAATTGAATGCTGATAGTCATCTCGCAGTCGTCTTAAATTATGTTAGATTGATTTAAAAAATAAAATTGTTTTCCAACCATATGCTTGAGTCCAACATGTCTGAGGTTAATGATCGCATTTTGTATTTTGTTAAAATAATCGAACCGGCGACTGTCTTAATGAAGCGTAAAGGAATCGATTTTAAGTCCTCACATCATGAAGAATTTACTTTTAAGTACGACTTAGAGTACAACATGTGTTTGTGTTGTTATAAGATTTATCATCGACACAGCATATGGAAATGTGTGACATTGAATATTTATACAGAATCTTGTGTGTATGGATGGGAAGATTAAAAGAACTAAAAATTGAGATATAAATCATGTGAGAAAGATGCCGGCTAATTATATATTTTAAAGATGTATGCTCGAGACTTTATTCAAATATATTCCAATTAAAATCATTTTTTTTTATATCGCTAAGTCTTCTATGGAAGTTTGATCGAGTTCGATGAAATGACGATTAATTTAATTGCAGAATATTCATCTTCAATTCTATCCGCTATAAAAATCAATTCCTTTTAAATCAAATCAAATTTAAAATTTCTTTTTATGGCACAACTTCACTTATGAGATTATCGCCCTCTTATATGTGAAGACATAACCAAGATTTATGTTTCTTTCAAGTATGAAACTGTGAATGTTTAAGATGCTCTCCAGATATGTCTTATAATTTAGCATACATTCGTCTTTGACTGGAAACATTTTGGTCAGGTGTTTGACTTTCAGGGATAAATGCTTGTTTGACGTTGATTTGGATTCATAGTTGTTGGGATGGTAGAAAGGTTGGTAACAGTTAGATTTGCCATTATATAATTAGAAGTTGCTGACCCCCTCCCCCATGGACGTCATAAATGAACGGCCCCTTTTGTTGCTTTCTTTGTACAAATTGATTTCGGGAATGGTCGGTTGTAAACCTTACCATCCCTAGCCTGAATGTGGGGCTGATACCCTACAGGCGAGTTTGTTTGGATAAGCTTTTAATCTACCCTTTTAAGTACTTATCCCGGCTAGCGGTGCATTTAGCGATATTAAGGGATACCACAGGAAGCTATGCAGTTGACATTTGGTCAGCTTCGGATTCAGACTTCGGTTTCCCCAATCCCCCTGAACGGCCCCTTAAAGCTTAAATAAAATATCTACGTATGATTCAGTTAAGCTTCTAGTTTTGATTAAACCAACTCTGTCTAGTTCTCAACCAAAATTCCTAATATTTATCCAAGCAAAACCATCAAATAATCCAAAAAAATGCAGCATCATTTTTTCAACAAACAATATCATAAGCACCTGAACAGCACAGCATTTCATGAGTCACAAGATAATTCAGCGATGCCATTGAGATTGTAAATTGAATATTAATTGCTTTGAATAGCAACCTGTGTGATGAAATACGATGATAACTCGCATGAAGTAGAGTTTAAAAGGGCATCGGATCAAATATCAAACTGTTTAGCAAAAAATCTTGAATTTTTTGAGGCATTTGAATGTCAAAATTAATAAACTTAAATGAAAATGATTAAAACTTAAGCAAAAATCGAGCCATTAAAACTTACTACAAATCACGTCCGGGAGAATCTTCTGTCTTAGATTAAAAGCAAATGGATGTAAAGATTGTTAAAATCTTCCAAGTCATAAATCATAAATCTGTATTCATAATACTTAAATATGGCAATTTATTACAAAATGATTTTTATGACTTTTTGAAATGCGCTTAACTGTGCATGCACATTTCTGAATTTGATTTCGTTTATGGAAGGAAATGTAATGAAACATCATAAGAGTTTTCAGTGAAGAAGTATAAGAATTTGCATAAAGAGGTAGATGGGAATATGAAGAGGAGTCAAAGATTGAAAGTTTTTTGGACATTTGGGGAAGTTAAGCGCATTTAGAATCTATTGGTTATTACTAAAGTCATAATTTTATCATGAACTAGACTGTCCTCAACAATGTTGACATCCCTCAATATATTGAATGGACGTCATAAGCAAAACATCCATAAATAAGTTCAATCATCTAACCATCCAGTCACAATCAATTTACAGCGTACTTATTTTGCATAAAAATGCACTAAAAATATTTTTTCAAAATCCCTCAACATATCGATAGAGAAAGAAAAGAATTGCATGCGGAATCGAATTTGCATAAAGCAGCTGGTGCTGTTTAAGAAGAACAAAGAATGCATATCATTGCTACACATGCGGGGCATTCAATCAAAGGTATACGCGAAGTATTCAATACCTCGTGGCTCATTGCCGTTTATTTATCCAATGACGTATATCTGTCATAATAATGGAGAAATGTGTACATGTACGTTTACTGGAGAATGGAGTCATAAGAAAGATAAAAAGATTCATGAAGGAAATTGTCGACATTCTCCTCTACACCCAATTTCAAGAGTAAAATATTGAGTGACTTATGAGCTCTTTTCTTATGTATATCGCGATGAATTTGCAAAAATAAATGGATTCAGAAAGAGCTTAATGTCTCTTTTAATTCACAAATAAAATGAACTTAACACCGCATACATAAAGTTCATTGTAGTCGGATGTTGAATATAATATTTTTTTTTGTTAATTTAGATTGGGGTTCATGCATAGATGGCGTCATGGATGCATAAAATAAAAATTTAAATTGAAAAAAACCATGGGGGTTGTTCATTTATGACGTCCGATATTAACGGTTATTTTTCAAAAAAAAACAATGGAATTCCAGGAGTTTCTTGTTTTTTTCTTGCTGACCCCTCCCCCCTTCCCTTTGGACATCATAAGTGAACGGTCCCATGACAATATTAAAGATGAACGATCATTACACTAATATTGCGGGAACTCTTGTCTTATTGGCAATATTACTTGAAATCTTTGCATTCTTAACTTCATATCAAAAAGGAGTGCTGATCAAAAATGATATAGCCATCAAAAAAATAATGATGTACCAGATTTTTTTAAGATTATGCAATGTGCTTATTATTGGGAATTGAACCCACCTATCCATAAAATTTTAAAATTTCAACTATTCGTCTTTGCATTTTGCCATAAATATTTTACTTTGATAGTGACAGAATCACTATAATATTGTTTGCATCCTCAATTTTTTTCCATCGATACAAACAGAATTGCAATAAAGGTACCTATTTGCAGGTGAAAACCTTACAATTCCTCGATAATTATAAGATTTTTCTAACAAAACCATACAAATTCTATTAAAACCCCACAAATTATCGAGAAATTGTACGCTTCTCACCTGTGCACAGATGCTTGTATCGCAACCCTGGATACAAATAATATGAATAGTTTGCTATAACACAAAACAGACGTCATAAGCAAACAGCTCCAATTTGCGTTGAAACGAAAACAAAATATTTATTTGTGTACCGATAATTGTGAATCATATGACTAACAATGTTACGAAACCAATTTTCAACTGAGCTAATAATCTGCGATCTCTCACGTAAAAATTCCAGAATTCACAAAAAAATTCATTTAATTTTTTAATTTTCCACATGAAGCCTTCATCATCATAATCATTTTTTATTTAAACGCTTCTCTGTTGTGAGTTATTATTAAAAATATTTTTCGCCTTCCTTTTATTTGCAGTTTGATAATGTGGAAGCATGTCTAATAATTTTACGTCAGAACTGCGTGCCTGGAGTGGAAATTATTACAACAAACGATATCATCAGTGGACGGTTGAAAGCAATTTTATCATTGTTCTTTAGTTTAAGTCGTTTTAAGCAAGCGTCCAAGTTGAAAGCGCCTGTGAGGCCCTTACATTCACACGACATGATGCTCACCAAGGAAAGGTAAGTCTTGATTATATTTTAAATAATTTTTACTACTGGATTCTTCAATGCTACTGTCTAGTGCTATTATTTTAATGCTACTCATAAATATGTGGGCATTAATGCTATTCAATAATTTTGATGAGTAGAATTTTATTGCCTATTGCGACATCTACGATTTATGATTTTAGTAGTTCTATTGTAAGTTTTGCTACTTTCCACTTCGAGTGCTTATAATCACTTTGTCTTCTTACCACCAGAGGCGCTACAAGGTTTTAATAGCTTGTTTGAACATCTTATAGAGGCGCTATTGTAGAATCTACTTGAAACTTACCTTTCCTCTCCGCTTGATGCGCTGCTCGGCTACTTAAATTGAATTATGGAAATTTTATTCCACTAGAACTAAGTTGAAACTAGTCAAAATTCAGTTTTATATATCTACTGCTAGGATGCTGTGTTTTGGGAATATTATTAAATGTCAGAGTGACTCTAGTAGCTGCTACTGATATTTTGGTACCTGAATACTGTAACATAAACAAAGCTTTAGTCTTAATAGTCTGCCTTTATGAAGATGCAGACATGAATTAACAGTTCTGCAAGTCATGATTCTTAACTTACTTACTCACTTCATTTCTTGGCTAAGACGCATCGGGCCCATTGTCACATTTAGGGGTTCTAAAATCGGGAATATTCCCGGGAATTCCCGGGAAATCCCGTTCCCGTTTCCCGAAAATCTTTCCGGAATATTCCCGAAATTCCCGTTTTCATACCAAAAAAAAACCGACAATTCAAATTAGTTTTTTTTTTATTTTGTATTTTCCATGAAAAAAAACTACAATTTAAAGAAAAAAATTATAATAATGAAAACATACGTTAAGGAATTTAAGAGTTGAAATATTAAACTCAAATTTGAGTGTCCATCAAGTAGAACGGTGACCTAACGAATTGAGTGATGGACTATATATGGGTTTTTTGTGCTATTTTGTGAAAGCAGAAAAATAACTTTTTTAAATTTTGTGAAGTTGCCAGTTCTGAGATATGAGCATCTGAAAACGGAGCTAGGGCCGATTTTTTACTTTTAACACTTTCGACTGTAAATCTGACAAGGCTTAACGAAAATTGTTTAAACTTGGTCAGTAATTTGTGCAAATGTTTCCTAATCAAATAAAATAAACGAAATATTTTTATCTAGCCTAACCGTTCTACTTGATGGACACCAAATTTGATGTTTTTTAAATCAAAAACATATATTTATGAAAAACGAAGAGAAAAAGTATTTAAAAATATTTTTTAAATGTATGATGTCCATAAAATAATAAACTTAATTGACATTGGATTAAAGTAATTTTTCCAAAATAAAAAAAACGTGCTGGAAATTAATATTTCTGGAATCCACCAACATCTACAAGAGCTGAACGTAACTTTTCAATCTCCAATAATATTGTCTCAAAAAATCGCACTAGATTGCTAGACCAGTTAAAATCGTACTTTAAGAATTGTTCTAAAACCAAAAAGAATTAAATTTCAAACGGAAATTATTGTCAAAAGAATCAATTTGACAATCAAATCAAATAGAATTTAAATTTGATTTAAAAACCTAAAGAAAATACCAGAGATCGAAGCCGATTTTTTCGGCTTAACTCAATTTTTGATTTTTTTGATAGAAAAGAGCCATTTGACACCCATTTCAAGTATTTAAATTGAACTTTACATGCTTTACTATGATTCTGTGTAATATTTTGTCAGCATGTAGCTATAGTGAGCTCAGAATTTCAATTTAGCCGATTTTAAGCCGATCGGCTTAAATTTCGGCTTAACATTCTTCAACTTGAAATTCTGAGCTTCCTATAGCTACATGCTGACAAAATATTACACAGAATCATAGGAAAGCATGTAAAGTTCAATTTAAATACTTGAAATGGGTGTCAAATGGCTTTTTTCGATCAAAAAAATCAAAAATTGAGTTAAGCCGAAAAAATCGGCTTCGATCTCTGGAAAATACATGGTGTAAGTGTAGCTTTTAACTTTTTTTTTTGTTGATTCCCGGGAATATTCCCGTTCCCGGGCATCATTCCCGTTCCCGTTCCCGATTCCCGAAATCTTACGGGAACGGGAATTCTGGAACCCCTAGTCACATTCAGAGTTCATCTAAAACTGGCTCTGTCCTTAGACAAATTCTGCCAGTTTCAAATTCCTAGCCCAACGGAGCCTGTTAACTTTGATTCGTACGATATCAGCTTCATTGAAAAGATGATATATTTCTGCATCGCTCCTGCTCTTGTAAAAGTCAACTGCTCTCTTCGGTCCAAATATAGGACCAAATGAAGGAACCTTCGTTCATATAAACCAATTGTGTTCTTATATTTGATAGTCATATTCCAATTTCAAGCACATGATTTATAAAAAATTTCATAATAACTCTTGATGAATATTTAATAATTCCTACCACAAAATGGACAAGAACTATCCATATCTATCCTTAGATATTTCAATTTCATTTATTTCTACCACAAAACATAAAAGTTTAATTCATCATTGAGTGCACAATGGCAATCCAATCAATAAATATTTCCTCAAAAGATATAAAACCCCTTGATCCATTGAGCAATCATTTGCACAAAATTGCGTATCCCTAACAAGAAATTCCTGATAAACTTTAACAACATCCCCAAAACAGAAACAGTTTTCATATTGATTATTTTTTTGGAAACAAACCGGGTGAAAATCAATCACATGCTGCCTTGCTCTTGCTCATTCAACTTGAAATATTGGCATCGAATTCCATTCCGTAAACTGCCTTGTTACTTCCCTAAACTTTTTTTTCAAAGGTTTATCAATCATTTAGCGATCTTAACGAGAGTTTATTTATCATCATGATGTTGAACAAACGGCTGTGCGTTTTAAAGGGATAACAGGAGGAAATTTCCTTGCGGGCAACTTTACTTCCCTGTCTTTCAATCTTTTTTTTGTTTGGCAAATTGCATAAGATAAATGTTCCAATCAAATAATGCAAACATGAAGCATTTGTGTTTTCCCCAATCGACCAATTTTCTTAAATGATAAATGTTCATTCCATTCTGGTACTTTTTACTGCTGCTTCTTTTTTTTTGAGGAAGTTGAATAAGATCGAAAAGATATGACACGCGACACGGAAAGATGAAACTTCTTAGGTAGGGAAGTTTATTAAATTATTCACATCATTTGTCTCGTATTAAGTGGCAATGATGTAAGGAAGCCGGGCTAATATTAGACAAGTTACAGAAAGGAAATGTACACGAGCGTACTTGATGCAACTTCAAAGAAAATTAAATTTTTTTCCATTTTAAATTTTTCATGAAATGTCTGAAAATTGAAAATTAATCTTTAATCATATGCTAGATTACATCATGCAGTGCCTAACCCTTAATTCCATTTTAATATGTAAATTACACCAAATTTTAAAGCTTGTTGCGTTTCCATTCTACGTTTGCTCACAATGTATCATATTTTATTATACACTAGCTTTTTTATTAAGCAAGTCACTGTCACATAGATAAAAAAAAAATAGTAAGTAAGTTGAGTCAAAAAATTGATTTATTTGTTTATTTACGGTCTCGTGTTTTGCATATAATTCTCAAGAGACATAGATGATATTTTTAGAATACAAAAATTTATGATGAAAATTCATTGTTTTAAGAACGGGTTGGTTATAGCGCATTGTCAACTGAGTTATGTGTTATAGTATGTAGACCGATGGGAAAAGCCTCAGCTTTTTAATGGATGCTTGGAATGTGAAAATTAAGGATTGTTTTCTTTGTCTCGATTTTGACAGCTGATGCTGTTCTTTGAAGAACTTAATAACTCCAAACGATAGCTTTATGTCAGAACATTACTACAAATTTCTTCTACGATGATTCTTACGCTTCTGCCGAATAACCGTCTTTTTCAATTCAAATTTTTCCAATTTAACGCCAACTTCATGCTGCATCATTCCAATCTATAATTCAAACTTACTTATAACGGAAATTTTATGTCCGAATCTGGTTTTTCAGAACGACCATTTACTAGAAATTTACCAAGTCATAGATAATTCCATGGTTCGGACACGTCGAAAACCGAACACGAATTTTATTCTTAACTTCTTGTTTAGCACGGTTTAGCTAAAATCATTCAAAAAAATTACTAAAAGTTAAATAATAACGCTTAAAATCCTAAAATTGAAATAACGGTTTAAAAATATTCAAACGCTAGGTCGACTAAATTCGAACATGTCGACTTTTTTCGACACTGAAATGTCTGTAGCATGGATAATTCATGCTACGGACCACTACGGACATTTCAGTGTCGAATTTTTTCGACATGTTTAAATTTAGTCGGCCTAGCGTTTGAATATTTTAAAACCGTTAAAAATTTGTCAATTTTAAGATTTTAAGCATTAATATTTAATTTCTAGTATTTTTCTTGGATGATTTTAGCTTAACTTAGCTAAACACAAAGCTAAGAATAAGAATCGTTTTCCCAAGCCTTGTTTTTGCCGGTATTTGCAAAAAATATTCATGAAAATTTGACGGTTTTTTGAAATTCAAAGCAAAAAATAACGGATTTTTCGACGTGTCCGTAGCATGGGATAATTCATGTTGATCAGCTTTCAAAGAATGATTTTTGTTAAACTTTTAATTAAGAAACGAACCTATGGCTGGTTTCTAGATTTCAAGAGCCGAAGTTTTAAAACCTAATGAGACACTAAACTCCTCTATACCAAAATGACACTCAAATAATCAAATCGATTTATTGAAAAATGAGCTAAACATTCCATGTTCATCGTCATCGTAAAATCCACTACTTTGTAACTTTACTGTTTCTCTTTTCTTCTCTGTTTCTTATTTTTACGGAAGAATATTAAATGACACTAAAAATAGCAACAATTTTCTACTTTTGATACGCATAAATTTATACATTCAGCTTATCCAATTTGCTTCTTTTGATTTCAACGAACGAGAGAGAAAATGTAAATCCATTAAAATGTTTGTTAATTAATGGAA